GAAATGTAAATATTAGTGCAGCTAATAGAAACTTGATGAGCATATCAATAGGCGGCACCGCCACAGAAACTAAGGCACTATCTCAGGAAGGGCCTACTGCACCTCAAGACACAGTGCCGCTTCCACAGATCTTCAGGTATGACAGAATAGGGATAATATTATTTATTTTAACCAATGAGGCACCTGACGTTGTCGAACCAATGCTGGACGAAGATAATACGCACTTTAAGTACAACTACTTTATTCAATGTGTTTGCAGAATTCGTTTCAGTTAAATGTATTCACGATCATCTGCTGCCTGCTACGAATGAAAGTATACGTAAACTAAGGCAGGCAGAGCTCACAATCGACGAGTATTCGATTTGGCTTAGCATTTGGCTCGTTATGACGAAGTATGACGGTATCAACACGCTGCGTTCTTTGAACCGTCACCGGATGTCACATATCCCACACCATTTTATTCTTATATGATGAAACGAAGTAGCTTTAAAGCGATACGGGGTAACCTCCCACTATGACATGGTGCACGAGATGATAAGGACGACGGGTGAGAAATCCGCATCATGATAGAAGTATTTAATGAGAATATGCATCGTACCTTTTTCCCGAGCTGGAAGGTGTGAGTAGACAAAAGTATGTACCCCTGGGATGTTAGATGTAGTTATGCCAATTGTAACTTACCACATAGGAAGCCATGACCGTTTGGGAATGAATTTAAAACAATTGCGTACTGCGAGTCATATATAGCATTTTCCTTGGACCTGCTAGAAGGAAATGCGCGACCTGCGCAACTACCTTCACTAGTCTATGATGAGTTTGGCAAAATTGTGAGTATTGCCATAAGGCTAATGAAGGCTATACAACGCACAACCCGTATAGTCACTATGGACTCTGGATTCTGCAGCTACTATACGAGCTGCTTCTTGTTGGATTATTCTGCATGTTTGTCATCACGAAGAAAAAGTACTTGTCCAAGGGAGTGCCGGGAGGTGAACTAAAGGAGCACATAGCAACAAGACTAATGTCTGACTATGACATACGGAAAGCATGGGTATTGTCTTGAGGCAAATGAAGACTATACAGCGCACAAACCGTACAGTTACTATGAACTCTGGATTCTGCAGCTACTATATGAGCTGCTTCTTGTTGGATTATTCTGCATGTTTGTCATCACGGAAAGAAGGTGCTGGCCCATACTCAACTCCCTTAAAAGAAGGCATGCTCTTAAGTCTATAACCAACTTATTTGATAGATGACATTCAATATTCAACAAGCCTTAAAACTAGAGATCCTGTAAAAGAACACTTATGTAGACATGGAAAGAGTAAAATACTTCTGAGATGTTGATATCATGTCAGACTACCGCATTGTGCTATATTGGAAATGTAAATCAAAATATTAATGTATAATTGGAGTGAGAGTCTTGTCATCATTTGGAGAAGCGCTCACAAAATAAGCAAAAGGAGTGGGGTTTATGAAGGACCAATCCGATGATACCATGGTCAAACCGTTGTCATATCAGCCATAGGAGGAATTCCGAAGTCTACAACAGTCAATTTGTAAAATTGATTTGATAAACGAAAGTCAATTTTAACAATTATCATACCCTAGAAAATTATGAATCAGAAAATGTTCTTGCTGTAAAATCTGGTGTGAGACCTGTAGTCTCGCAGGAAGCATCCAAAGAAAGAAACGCTGAAGTATAAAAGTGTCGTCGAGGGCAGCGCGATTAGGACGATGATATAAAACCTGGCGAAGACTCGGATCACGATGATGGTGACATGTAACCAGAAAGTGACATTGACGATTGCTACATCAAGATTCCGAGAGCTTCCAGACACCCCTCTACATGAAATGGGTGATGTGTAAGGAGGATAGGAGTGAAATCCAAGAGAATATGAGCCTAGCTATGGCGATTTTTTAGAGCTGTTCAGGAATATTCTCAGATGCTCGCAAAACAATACCTGATGGTAAAGTGTGACCGAGGAAAATCATGTTGCAGCCGTGAAACGATTCGAACCGACATTGTTTACAACTGAAGATTTCCCAGAAACTTAATGACCGAAGTAGCACAAATCGTTTAAATGTCTTCAGGAGTTACTGCCGCAATTGTTGATGAACGTAGAAAATAAATTTTTACCAGTCTAATATTGTTTGCCATAAAAGACTACCCACACGATTTTCCAACACTAATTTCCGACCATACTCCGTACTTTAGCGCTGGGCATTGACAGACCGTAAACAAAGTACAATAAGCCCGGGCAGCAAAATTTCTGAAGAGAAGCCCCTTCTTTTCCCAGTATCCCGGCCCAGAAAGCTAATACCAGTTTTGGCGGGCTCACACTGATAAGTAAAAAGTGTCACAAATCTCATTCAAAACAGTGTAAACCATAACTACGTAAATACATGTGATAAGTAAAAGTGACCCAAATCTCATACAAAACAGTGTAAACCATAACTATGGAGATACATATGCTTTTCAGTGCAAAACAACTGTTATGTAAACTTCAAGCGCAAGAGAAGGTATACCGAGAAGAGCTGGTATTGGTCGAACTCCATCCATATTCACAGTCAACCGTAGTCAAGGTGGTGATAGATGAAGAATTGATTGTTGACTATTCCGAGAGAGAGGATGGGTACTGCTCTACCCGAACGGGACAACAGCAAAAACGACGTATGGTTGAGATGAAGGTTGGGTTGGTTGAAGGCGGAGGTGGTGAGCACGTTACAGTGTATGTAAATGCACGTATAGATAGGTCTATGGACATATCTAATGCAGAAGAGAACGAGGTCTTAGGAAGTATGGAAATATTGTGATTTTTTTTTGTTATAGAAGAAGTTTAAATCGGTGCATATCTACTACCCACAAAACTTCCTAACAAGTATAAAACGTGACATTATGTACGGAGGTTCTATATATGTGCGAGCCGCACTCAAACGGTTTTTAGAGATATGCAGTAGTGGTAGTTTGGATGGAGATAATACATGGCGCAATAGAGTTATAATTGTACGTTAGTTGATAACTATACTGCGATCGAAGTGATCGAGCCCTTTATGAAAGATGCACCGGATATCATGACTGCTTGTGTCCGCCATAGATTATATTTCTGTATTAGATATCCGGTGCAAGTAGCAGATTAAAGTGCACCTGGTGAGAAGCGATTGAGACATGCCCCGAGCAAAGGTCTCAAAATATATGTATTAGAAAAGTATGAAAGAGAAGGAACGGCGGTAGAACCTAACAAACCTAAGTATTGACAAAAGTGTATATCTATATTTATAATTCAAATCATTTTCTTGATATTCATTTTAGTCTATACCATACCTTTCGGAACTCGCTTATTACACTTTTAACCTTTGCATTCCTCTATAGGTTTCCAAAAATGGGGCAGAGGCGGTTTCAGATTTACCAGCCACAAAACTCCCTAACAAGTATAAACCGTGCCAGTATGTACGGGGGTTCTATTCATGAGCGAGCCGCACTCAAACGGCTTTTAGGGATATGCAGTAGTGGTAGTTTGGATGGAGATAATACATGGCGCAATAGAGTTGTAATTATACGTTAGTTGATAACTACATTGCGATCGAAGTGATCGAGCCCTTCATGAAAGATGCACCGGATATCATGACTGCTTGTGTCCGCCATAGATTCTATTCCTGTATTAGATATCCGGTGCAAGCAACAGATTTAAGTGCATGTCCGCCATAGATTCTATTCCTGTATTAGATATCCGGTGCAAGCAGCAGATTTAAGTGCATGTCCGCCATAGATTCTATTCCTGTATTAGATATCCGGTGCAAGCAGCAGATTTAAGTGCACCTGGTGAGAAGCGATTGAGACATGCCCCGAGCAAAGGTCTCGAAATGTATGTTTTTAAAAAATATGATAGAGAAGGAACAGCGGTAGAACTTAACAAATCTACGTATTGACAAAAGTGCGTATCTATATTTATAACTCAAACCACTTTCTTGATATTCATTTCAGTCTCTAACATACCTTTCGGAACTCGCTTATTACACTTTTGATCTTTGCGTTCCTCTATAGGTTTCTAAAAATGGGGCAGAGGGGGTTTCAGATTTACCAGCCCTCGTATAAATTCGGATTCCTCAACAGGAATATCATACTCGGAAATATTCAATAAGCCACCATCCCACGCCCTGTGGTTCTGCATCTCTTCGTTCTCGGGCTCAATGTGTATTCGAGATACAGCTATATTCTTCCCATCTTTTTTGGTCGCAACATAAACTTACAGAGGCAGATCACGTGCACACCATTCGTTTCCAACTCATACCTATCTGTAAGGTCTTTGTCAAATAACCACTGCTGGGCAACAACCACATTTAAGTCTTACACCGAAGGCATCTGAATCGACAATAGAATGTCTATTGCGGACCCGGGATAGGGCGGCGATACGGCTGCCATATATGAATTAGCTCCTGATACCGTAATGTGCTTGGTTGTAACATTGCTTTTAAATTACGAGTATCGAGCTGAGAGTAATGAAGGACATATACCGTATGAACTTTCGCACTTTCTTTCAGTGCCGTCTGACATCCAAAGTGAGCAACCTGGTAGAAGGCCAAGACATCGAATTAAATTAGGTTGTACCATCCTGGAGTTTGTTTATTAGTTTTATGAACAATAGCTGCAATTACCTTTGTCCATATAATGTACGTGTGTTTTGCTGTGTTGCACGATACCCCAAAATTAATACACGTATCGGCAATCGTATATCGTGTTTAATGAATCCTTGCAAGTCACATAATGAATTGCTTAAATAGATCAAATTCGAACTTTGAGGAGTATGTTCCCCCTGATAGATTTCAAGGTTGATCATTCTCGTTGTTCTCTTGTATTTGGCATTCATCCTTGAAGTATTCGCGTTCTAGTGCCATTCTTATTCGGAGTGAGTAGTGTCGCATGAGTTAAAATGAGGATAATGTATTTCATATATCGAACAGTGCGCGTGCCAGACAATACTGGGTTCACCAGGTACCTTGTTGTATATATCATTATCTGTTTGAAGTTTGCTAATGCATGTCGGAGCTTGTGTGTGAGGAACAACCGCAACAATCGATGTTACTAGTGTATTGAGCACATTCTGACGAAGTATTGGGGTTACTTTACCAAGTACATGTCGTCCATTGTTGGTAGTGATATTTAAACCTGAAGTTGTAGTATTGACAAAATTATGGGCATGCACTCCTTCCTGTGTTGTGGTATTGATCATATCGCAGTTTCTAAATCAGCTGCTGTGTATGGTTTAAAACGGGGCAACTCTACTGATTTATTTATCAGTACATCTACAGTGAGTTGATCAGCACGCCAGCGGTT